GAAAATTCTTTAATATATAATGGAATAAGTGAAGAATTAAGTCCAACACAAAAACCAATTAAAATTCTTGCAAGATAAAACCAATAAATATTAGATATTATTTCGAGTAATACCCCAATTATTCCAATTAAATCAGTAATCATAAAAGATTTTCTTATACTAAATTTTTGTAACAAATTGCCTGAAAGCATTGCTCCAGCTCCTGCAGATAAAGTAAAAATAGCTAAATACTATTATTTTAATTTTGATACCTCCAACTAGAGCTTTAAGTAAATTCTAAGTCGAGACATCATAATCAATGATTAGATAATAAATGGGGTAAAAATTTGAGGCTGAATTTAGATAGGAAATAGAATATCCGAAAAATAAAGAACCTAGAACGGCATTGAAGACTAGCAATACAAAAGGTAAAGCAGATTTGTATTGAATATCCATAATTAAAAATAATAATATTAAATTCAAGATGGTAATATTTTTTACTGTTATTCTTCAATCAATTGCATCATTTAAGTATATGTAGTTGTTTTCATATATGGTTTTTCATTGAAAAATTATTTCAGTCTTTCATTCTGAATGAAAGTCTAATCTTTAAATAAAATAATGAAATCTAATTTCTCATCGTAAATGCTATTTAAAAATTAACCTCCTCTTGCAATTACTCTAGATTTAAAAGTTTCCAATTCTACTTCAGAAATTTAATGACTTAAACAATAAGGATAAAAAGTCTTATGCTAAAATATCCATAATTTTGGTAATTAGTATAATAATTCTTCCTCTAATAATAATAAATCATCTTAATTAATTGGTTCATTAATTTTAATATTTTCACATATATCTTTTAGAGCTAATTCATCGATAAATTCAAAATAAGAATCTCCATATTTATCATAGAATTTATTAACTTCATTCATAATAGCCAAAGGAGCAAATAAAATAAATCTGGGTGCAATATTAACTAATTATGATCTTCTAATGCATTCTATTATCCATTATGGTTTAATTATAGTAGTTGGAAATTTCTCTATAATTGAATTAACTCTAAAGTCAATAATTGATGCCACAACATGAGTAACACTTTCTACAATATAATTTTATATACAAGTTCCACCTTAAGATAAAATTAAAGATTCTAAATATTATTTATTATAATCCTCTTCTAAATTCACAATATAAAATTCACATCCTACAAATAAATTAGATTCTTTTGTAATATTTCTTGGATCTAATCCTTAATATTCTGTCATAATAGTAATCTATTTAGAATGAGCTCCACCTTTTTTTAAAGGTTATTTTCTTTATTTAGCCTATCTAATTGGTCTATCTTCATTTTCAAGTTCATCATCTGTTTATTTATCATTACCTTCTTTATCATTCTTTTTTTTAAGATTCTTTGTATATTATGAATCATTTATCATACTTAATAAATCTTACATGGTCATCATTTCATACCAATCTTTATCCATTCTAGTTTTATAACATCTTGGAAATCTAAGTGTATAATCAGTTGGAAAAGTATTAGATTTTGTTATTTCTGCTGCTTTTACTTCAAATATAATTGAATGAGCAGGATTATTAATATAAACATCTGGTCTATCATTAATACCTGGATTCCAATTTTAAGGTATATAATTAGGTTTTTATTTCTTAATCCAATGATTTCTTAATTTATTTCTAATTGTTGATAATTCATTATCAGTAAAACCAGTTCCTACTTTAACAAATGGTAATATTACACTATTAGTTGGTTAATTTTTATCTATTTTTTATGCTAATCCCATTAAAAAATGTGTAATTCTATCAAATTCATCAAATGTTTCTACTCTATGTGATTATGTTCCAAAATAACCACCTATTACTAATAAATCACAATTATCTGTCATATTTTCAACATAATCTCCTTTCATTTTAACCCATTTAGTAGATCTTTCATTAGGTAAATATTAAGAATCCATTTATTTAATTATGATACCTTCTTAATTTCTTTCAATAGCCATATCAAATTCTTAAATAAGTTCTTCAAAAGATTTAATTGTTGAAGCTTAAACTACTTCTAATTAATTTGGAATTGGTACTATAATCCTCTATAATAAACTTCTTCTAGTAGATAAAGGAGCACTCATAGTATTGACTTCTTATCCTTAATATGTTTTGAGATATAGAATATCAAAAATTTTATAACAAAGACCAAAAGCATCATCATTAACATCTTTATTTAAAGCAACAGTTTTATTTAAACCAAATCTAACATTTTCTCCTGTTTCTTTATTAACAACAATAATTTCACCATCTAAGATTGCACATTAAGCTTAAACACTTTATCTTATAATATCACCTAATTTATCCTTGTATAAATAAGTATAATCATTAGAATTTCTAGTAAAAAATCTTATAACTTCAGGAGTAAAATGACATTATATTCTTTCTCCATCAAATTTAGTTTCAACCAATAATTCTTTGCCTTCAATTAATTTTCTTATTTCTTCTGGTGATTTCTTAGCTGCCAACATTGGTTTAATAGCATGAAATATTCTTAATACATTCTTTAATGTATGATTTTAATCAACAAACTCTTTACATACCTCTTTTAATGATGATGTTGCATTATAATATTCTGGAGCATCTTTATGAAATAATTATAAAAGCTTTTCGTATTTTAAACCTATTTTTAAATCCTTTAATATAATTCTTATAATCCATAGAATCTCATCAGCAGTACATACTTTTATTAAATCAACTATAACTAATTCTTATTCTTTAGTATCTTAAGCTTTAACTAAATTATCTAGTAATTAATCCACTTCTGATATTGTTATTATACTGTCTTTTCTACAATAATCCTTAATCACATTATGTACAACCATAGGAAAATCACCAACAGGTGCTCCATAAGGTTACATACTTGCTTATTTATAATTGGCCATTCTTTAATAATCATCATCTGATAATCCTAAGGCTTATCTAAATAATTTAGCCAGGTTTTTTTCTTATAATTTATATACTCCTCTATCCCTATCTTAGAATGGAATAATTAATCTCATTATTATATATGTATGTTCAGGTATTCTAGGAGGTTTGAAAAAGAATTAAGTTAAAACATCTAAAAGCTCACTTTTCTTTTTTCCTCTTACTTTACTCATTCTATCAAAAAAACATCTCAACACATCAAATTTTACTCTAATTGGACCAATTATTGAATTTACATTCACCTTTTATAAATCTTATTATTCTTTATTTAGTTTGTTTGTTTCTTCTACTTTTTCTTTTATTTCCTTTGCGAATTCATGTACTTCTTTCTATTCTCTTATTTCTTCCTCTTCATCTTAAATCTCTTCATCAATAAAATTCTCTTACTACATAATCAGAAATTAATAAGAATGATAATATTTTTATATTAAAAATTAGCAAATAAGAAAGTTTAATAATGTAGTTTAAAGTATATTCTTATAAAATTTAATAAATTTTATTTTCATTTTATTTTTCTATCATGAATTTTTGTGAATTCATCTTAATTACTGTTGAGAGTGAAGATAAATTAGAGGAAATAAGAATTGCATTAGCAAGTTTAGATATGTTTGAAATTAATACAGGTATCTATTCTAATAAATATATTGAGTGTATAAAAGACTTGATTAGCCAAGATAAAGTGCATTAAAAGAAGAATAAATTCTAGAATTTCTTGATGATAACACTCTTCAAATTACTTAAGAATAATTAAGTTACATATTTAGAGTATTGGATGTTGATAAGGACAACTTGGTTACATTAGCAGAGTAACTATTTATTCATAATTTCAAAGTTTCTAATAAGTAATTTTACCAAAAACTAATGATCAAGTAAAAGACTAAGCACTTAATCATAAATCTTATGAAATGCCACAAGGTATGTTATTACCAAAGGAAGTTGAAGCTACCTTAACTGCATTCTTTGAATAATTAAAAATTAATTATAAGTAAGAAATATTTTCATTTTAGCCAATACTCTAATATATAAGATCCAATCAATCTTGGTGAATTAGGAATATTTGAAAGTGAAAATCTAATCACATTAGATTCTCTTAAAAATTGGTTATAAAGTATTGGATAAGAGATTGAAGATTAAATTCTAGAAAAATTCCTTATCATAATTGATGGTAATCCAAACAATTTATAAAATCTAATTGATTAAATCTTTTTATAAATAGAATAATAAGAAGAATAGTAAAATGAAGCACCAAAATAAAATTAAGTAGAGGAATAAACTAAATAAAATTAAATTGAAGTTCAAGATATTAATTATTCTTAATAAGATTTACAGAATAGTGATGCTCTCTAAGAATCATTTAATCCTAATTAAACATAAAAATAACAAATAAATCATTAATAAAATGAATAAAAGAAGGTTGAACAATAAGAACCTATTGTTTAATCAAAAGTTTTATAAGAGAGTTAACCATATTATATAGATAATCCTTTATTAAATTATTATCATTAGTAAATTAAGGATGAAGAAGAGAAAATTAAATAATTATGTGATGAATTAAATATTCCAAATATTTACACTTAAAAAAGAGATGAATCAATATTGATCAAATATTATTAAAAAGAAATAGCTAGAGAATAGGAAACTTTGAGTAGATTATATTCAGAATCAAGACTTTCAGGAGTATCTTCTAAATTTTCAAAATCAACTTTTACTCCTGATCCATTATATTAAGATGAATATCAAAGATAAATCATTCGTATTGATAATGAAATAAGAAAAGAAGCATATAATTTAAGTTTAATTAAATCAAAGATTGAAATTAGCAGTGGATTATCAACTAGTTATTTAAAGTAATAATAAAATTTACATTTTAGGTATGAAAGTCCCAGTAAAAATTAAGAATCTTATTTTTATGACAATTTTTCAGGATAAAAGGTATATATATATATATTAATATTTAATAGAAATAATTTGGTTATTATAAATGATTTATCATATAATTATTATCAATAATTTATAATATAATTCTCAAATTTAAATCAATATAATGACTAATTATATTTTTGATAATCTTATTTATTATTATATTGTTAAACTTTACCATTATTATTATTTTTTTTTTTTTTATTTACATTGTTTTATTAGTTATTCATTTATTAATTTTGATATTGATTATATTAATTATTATTAATTTATTAATATTAAAAAGTATTCATTTATTAATTTTGAAAGCTATTTATATTAAATGCATTCATTTATTACAATTGCTATAAATTATTTAATTGAATATTATTAATATTATTTATATTTGTTTTTAATGTTAATGGATCCATAGCACATTTTGGATCTAATAGTTTTTTTTCAATCTAATCTAAATTTATTAAATATTATTCTAATGTAATCCACTTTCCAGGAACTTCCCAAGATATATTTAACTTTGCTTTTAAATACTTATGTTAAAACCATTAATCCATATTTTCTGTTGTAAATCCTCCTTATATCTAAAATTACATATTATAAATATTCTTACTTTTCCAAAATTATCAATATAATACCACAAAGATTCTTATGGAGATCTTGTATGTAATTAAGCTTATAGGGAAAATGGAGTGGTTGTAATTTTCTCCCTTGTGATTTTGACTACAGGTTATAAAGGTACTTGTTATTTTCTTTGTATATGAATTCCCATTTCTTCTAATTATTCAAAAAAGTCATCAGTTTCATTGTTATTGAAATTACTAAAATAATTCTCTATCTTTAATTAAGGTTATTCAATTAGGATTTTTTCTGTTTATTTATTATTATTATTAGCTAATACTTATTTTTCAACTTCTTCTACTGATAATATTTATGAATTAATAGAGGGATTCACACTTTTTGATTGTTCTAATTCAGAATAGCTAAATAATTCTTATAATTTTGCTTTTGTTTCATTGGCAACTTATAATTACTTTTCTTCTTATTCTCTTAATTATCTATATTTCTCTTTAGCTAATTAAAGTTCTGATATTTCTTCTTAAATAAATTCACTTTGTTTTTTGGATTTTAATTCTTGTTTTTTCTCAAATGTTCCATGCTATTTTTAATATTCTATTCTTTTTTTTTCAATTTCATTTTCTATATCTAAGATCTAAAAATTATCATTAGATTGCATCCATTGTGGCTCATCTTCATCAATATGACTGAATGATATTTAAGAAGAAATTAAAGGTTTCTAAGAAGCTTTAGAAAATAAATGTGGAATTTTTTCTAAGAATTCTTCAATTTCTTTAGGTGGTTCAAGTAATTCTTGAAATGCAGAAATTAATGTCTAAGAATCATAAATTTTATTTAATGGTTAATTAATTTGTGCTCTTACTTAATAAAATTAATTGAATAAATACCTATAACAGATTAAGATGAAGGATTCTACTAATTCTATTATTTTTCTTATGAATTGTTTCTTCTATTGTATTTATTTTATTTTTTTTGATTTTAAGCATTTTTATCATCAAAATTGTTTTGATTGTTATTTATCTAATAAAATGATGATTCATATATACTCTTCGATAATTTTAACCTTGAGTTTTTTAGTTTTATGAATCTTTACATATATACGAGAGTTGCTATTGCTATTATTTTGACATTAGTAAATAATTAGAAATTAATATTGTAAAAAAATAAGAAGTTATTAATCAATCATTTAGGATGGAATGGGAATATTTTGGACAGATGTTAGGTATGAATTTAATGTAATCTTATTTGTAATTTATTTTTAGGTCTGCATCCTAATTTATAGAGTACTTTCAATTTAAAAATCTTTTCATTTTAATTTGATTCATCTATTCGATCATTAGAATATAGTTAAGTTCGTTTACTTATATTTCTTCCTGATTCAAAATTACTTATAAATGGTTTAAGTGCTTTAATGTGATTGTTTACTGATTAATTTACATAAGTATCATCTTCTAATACTTCAGTCTTAATAATCCTTCTTGGATTACTTATTATTTATTTTTAGTAATTAATTAATGATTATATTTTATCACAATATGAGATATCATAACTTATAGATCTGTTTTACAATCTATAATTACTGTTAACACTTTCATTGTTGACATTAGATTTTGACCTAATTTTCACATTTTCATTATTGAAATTAGAATATGATCTAATTTCTCTATGTTTTAATGACTAAGTTATATTTGAATATAATTGATTAATTTATTATTCTCGATAGATGTATAACTTATTCTTACTTAATTGTTATTGATAATAAAATAGATCATAAACAGATTCTTTGATGTGATGATCTTTTAAAATTTAAGAGATTTAATCTAATTTTAAAGAATATAATGATCCTTCATATGAATGACAAGTAATTGAATATTTATAATATCCTTTTGGTTCTTCATCTTAAAGTTCTATTCCAAAAGTTTCACCTTTTTCTAATAAACAAATCTCAAATTGCTTCCATTTTTTTTGATTATAATACACAGAATTTGATTATAATATCCTTTTACTCATCTCTATGTATTAATTTATTTGTTTACTTTAAACTCTCCTGTTTTAACAATGAATACATGTGTCATTAACTCATTTTCAATGTAAACACTTTAATTTTTGATAAATAATAAGATATTAACAGAATCAATTATGTCTTTGATAATGTTATTATTTAATTTGTTAAAGGCTGGATGATTACGAAAAGAAGTGTATTTATCTTAATACTCTTATTTTTGTTTATTAAATTACATTTATTTATAATTCTATAATATATTTTGTTTTATTTCAGAGTGAAATTTGGTAAAAAGTTACTTCTGATATTTATAAATCTTTTTATATTTTGCGCAAAAAATAAATAATATCTCAATAATAAAATAATATGGAGACAGAAACAAGTCCAAAGATTTTGAGCTTCAGAATTAATAGTAATGTCAATACTTTGAATTCAGATCTCATACGCACAAATTAATGTCATTTAGATTAATCAACTTCTAAAATTAATGAGTATTTTATATTATAATAATTCTTATAGATAAAATAAGAAGATACAATAATTAGTAGAAGGTGTATACTCAGAGAATACTGATAGAAACAATTAAGATTCAACTAATAATACAAGTTGTATTAGTAATCTATCACCATTAAAACCTAAATAAGGCTAGAAAGAATTTGAAAATTAATTCACATTTGTTAGTCAAGAAGATTCATACAATTAATCACCAATTTAAAAGTAATCAAAGTAAGTTAAGACTTCTCGATTATCTATATCTAATAAAATAAATACTAGAAAATAGAGTTCATCTTCTTCTATAAAAGAATAGATTCAAGAAGAAAAATATTGTGGAATTTGTGGACAAGCTGATTAATTTTCTAATTTTATCAGACCTTGTCTTTGTAAATCAAAATAACATATTCATCAATAATGTGAATAAAAGGAATTTTGTGAAAAGTACATAGATAATCAATTTAATAAAGTAACAAAACCATTATAATGTGAAAAATGTCATTTTAACTTTGTTATAAAATCTTACAAAGATATTAATTTCACTAATGCATTTAAGGATCCACTTAAACATAGAAAGGTTCTAATGTATTTATCTATAAATTTATCAATGTTTATTCTAATTACTACTTTGATTATAATATCTATATTAAATAGAATGTAATTTAGATATCATGTAGAATATATTGCAGGTTTGATTTTAGCTTGTTTAATAATGATTGGAATTATAATTGTAGTTACTTACAATTTGATTGAATATATTTCTAATGTAATTCAATAATTTAATTTTAGTTTACTTGGTATATTTTAGATAGAGAATAAGCAAAAGTTAATGATAATGGAATTAGAATGAATTAATAAACATTAAATGTTGCTTTAGAAAATCATTAAAAAAAGAAATAATAACTTTTATAAATGATGGACTAAATGATATCAAAGAAAGTACATTCTGAACTTCCTATCTAAAATCCAGAAAATATCAAATGAATTACTTTTTTATTTTAATATTCATATACCTATTTTTTATATATAATTAATAAAGTAATCACTTCAATTACACATTATTATTTTTAATTTATTTATCAAGTATTAGATCTTTGTAATTTTTCATTATTGTTAGTATATCTGTTTCTAAATATGTATAGGATTCTTTTATTGATAATATTTAATCATTGTGAATATTTTGAAGTTTATTAATTGCAGCAATAGTTTATTCTAATTAAATGAAAGGTATTTTTGAATCATCTGACAATCGGTTTATTTCTTATTAATGATTGCTACTATAATTAGATTTCAATACTTGATTTAAGCAGTAAGTTATTATAATTTATTTAAGAATTCTTTATAATATTCACTATAATTATTTAAACTTTCAGAATATTTATCCATTGATTTAGTATTTTAAAATAATCTAGTTTCAGCTTCCTTTAAAGAAACTTATACTTATTATTCTAATTTCTTAAATGAGATTTCTTCTTTCTATAGATATTTTTAAAATTAATCCTGAAATTATAAAAGTTTCTTATCAAAAAGATTTAACTTAGTGAAAGTAGTTTCTTCAGTTATTTTATTTTTTTTTTATTTTAGATTTGAAGCATTATTATTAGATGAAGATAATTATTCATCATAATTATTAGTACAAGTTGATCTTGATCTACTTGGTTTTTGAAATTTGACTCCTGTATCTCTAACAGATTGATCATCTATCATTTCTGATATTTGACTATCTTGCCGTTTATATTCATGCAATAATAGATCATCTTTAAGAAATGGATTGCGATATTATTGATGTTTAAGTTGATCAATTTGATATGAGAATTTAGTCAAATTATCTTTATTATCTATTCTAGTTTCAAGTTCTAAAAGTTTATCTTCAATATTTTTTAGAATAGAACGAAACAATGAATTGCTAACAAATTATTCATTACCGGTAATATTAGCATCATAATATAAGGAGATACCTAATTAATTATATTAAGAATGATGAATGTCTTCTCTTTCAAATCTACTAGAATTTGATTATGATTTTATTCTATATTGATCATCATCATTCTTTAAAACTAAGTCTAACAATGTTAATTATTTATTTTAGAATTTGTGGGTTTACATAATAAATAAATTAATATAATATTTTAACAAATCAAATATATTAATAAAAATTCATAATAGTTTTGTTGGTAATAACAAAATTGGTTTTTCTTTTCTGACAAATAATATTATCAATTTAACTATTTAATTAACTTATATGAATCTAATTTTAATTTGTCCCTTCATTAGGTTAAACCACTTCAATAGAACCATCTAAATTAAATTATATAAAATACTTTAAGTGACAACATAAATTTTAAGATTATTATCTAATGACAAATATAATGGGAAATCATTTAAATTGATTAATAAGATGATTTATTTCTTATTATAATTTCTTCCATAAAGATATTGAAGTGTATTAAGAATAGCAAAGTAAACATTATCAAATCCTTATGCAGGTATAATTGATGTTTAAGTATCAACTGAAGAGTAGAGTGTTTAAGTATCTTTTTATGATTATTCATTATCTAAATTTCCATGTGGATTAGCTAAAAAATTAACATAATCAAAAAGAGTAAATGCAAAAGGATACTATCTAGTTGAATTATAATCTATCTATAAGGTTGAAACTACTCCTGTATCTTATTCTATTGCAAATATTACTCTCTTTTCACATTATTCTACTAATTAACATACATTTGGTAATTCTAATGCTTTTATATATCTGATTATATATTCTTAATTCTTGTATAAATGTTCCAAAAAGAAGAGTTAACCACTCTCATCTAAAACAAACTTTCCTGGAATTGAGTCAAAGATTCCAAAAACACAGGAAATTATTTTATCTGGTCCTCCTTTACCTATATGATAATACTAATCATAGATATCCAATCTATCTATATGAATAGTCTTGATTTAACCAAATTCCTATATAAATACTATTTATTTAATTTGAGCATCATAAAAAAACTCTACTATTTCCTTCTCCCATTAATATTCTACTAGTAATTCAGCTGTATCCATTCTCCATAATTTAACTATACCTTGATTAAATGTTGTAACTAAAATATTATCTTCAACTAATTTGCATAATTTAATTTCAATTTCACTTTAATCACAATTTGAAGCATTTAAAAGAAAATATTGTTTTGTTGTAAAAGATATCAAATATATATTACCATTACTTAATCCAAAGATTCCTTAAGTATAAAAGGGATCTAATACATATGATGAAACCATTGCAGGTAATTATATTCTCTAAAAAGCAAATCCAGAATCTAAAAATGATTACAAAGTTAAAACAGTTTTAATATCCATAATAAAAAAGGAATGTTCTGTACTACCTAAAATAATTTTACCTGCAGCTTAACTCACTTTAAGATAAGTGATTTCAGCATTAGTAATTTATTTTCTATATATTGGTTTAAATTCTCCATATTTCATAATAACAATTTCTCCTGATTTTAATCCTAAGATAAGTAATTAAGTAATTTAATTTTTATTTTATTATTATTGTTATTATTATTATTATTATTATTATTATTTCATTGATTCTTATGTTGGTTCTTATTATAATTAAGGAAATGACAATTAATTTTTAGAACCCTCTTCCAAAAGTATCTCTTCAGTTTTTACTGTTTATGATTATTAACTATTATCAAAAGATACTCTATCTGATAAATTTAATGATTATGATGATTATTTATTTTTATTTCCTTCATAAACTATATAATCAAATGTAGTTATTTCTTCAAGTTCATTAGTATTAATATTCTTAGGAAAGAATACATCAAAATATTCTAATTTATGATCTTTTGTAAAAGCCCATAAATATATTTGATCTCTACCAACTGTTGCAAATTCTATTATTCTTTCTTTAGAAAATGAATATTTTGATATTTTGATATCATTAATCCTATCCAATGTATATGAAGAAGTTATTAATTTTTTAGTTATGAAATCCCAAATTACAACAGTACACTCTTTTCCATTACCTACAGAAATTAAATATTTTTCATCTTCAGTTAGTAAAATTTGATGAACTCCTTAAGTATGAAAATTCATTTAAGCAATTTATTTAAATCCTAATTGACTAGCATTATTTTAGATTTCAAAAACATATATTGGAGCAGCATCCTATACTTTCTATGCAAGACCAACAATTAAATGCTTTTATGTTTTATCAAGGTAAATCACACTCACTGTAGCATCGAAACTCAAAATTTATTATTCTCTATCCTATTATAATTTCTCAAAGATAATAAAATTTTATGATGTATATGCATACCAACCATAAGATTAACACCATATGATATTATCATGTGTTTTAGTATTATAGCCAACCATATATTTACAAGATAAAGTAGGTTATTAAGATTATCCTTTTATTTGAGGTAAAATATATTATCTGAAAGGTAATTAAGTAGATTAATATTATTTATTCTATTATTTTTTAAGTTGACTTCTTGATCTCTTTCTATTTAGAATTTATCTTTCAAATTCAAAAGTAATAGGTTTAAATTCTTATTATAATCTAGATGGTTTAAAATGATCAGGCTTAAATGGTGTATTGACATTTTTGTTTGCCAATCCTTATTCTTCTTCTTATTCTTCTTTCTAAGGTAATTGTCTAACTAAACTAAACATTTCTACTAATTAACTTTATTAAAATGTATGCAAATGAGCATCCTTATTAGGTTAAAGATTCTCATTATTTTCTTAAATATCATAATAATCATCTAATTTTTCATTTTATTCATCTTATTAATCTTATTATTCAAATTAATCTTATTACATATCAATTTTAGTACATTATTATACTAATTATTCTTATTCCATTCTAATCAATCTTTCATTTTTACCTGTATATCCTAGAAATTTCCAAATAAATATTCCTTCCTTTCCACCTGCAGTAATAATAGTACTACCATTATCAGCACAATCAATAGAATTTATTTATGAAGAATGACCAATAAATACCTAACAAGATCCTGGTCCTTTAACTTAAAATTCATAATCCCAAACTTTTAAATATTATTCAGCACCTACAGAGAATAGATATTTCATATTTGGTGATACAACAAAATCATTTAATGATTATTTATGCATAAATGTCTATTCTCTTAAATAATATGCAGTAATAGTATCATTAACTCTTTCAATTCCATAAATAATTATTCTTCCATCTGTAGTACCACATAATAATTCTACATTATTTTCTGCCCATTTCAATATTTTCAAAGTAAATCTTGTTTAAATCTTTAAAATTTATTATAATGATGAAGTATCCCATAATTCAATATTGGTAGAATTCTCAATTAATGATAAAATTGCAGAATCCTTTGAAAATTAACCACAAACATTCTAAGATTATATAGAATGTTAAATAGTTTTAATAGGCTAATAATCTCTACTCACATCATATATTTTATAGATTGATTTAGCATCACCAATAACTAATTATTATCCATTAGAACTATATTATATGCATTTGATTTCTAAATCATGATACTTTCCTTCAACAAGAATAGATGTCTATTCAATATCAAATATTCTATGAGTTCCAGATTTGAATCCAGCAGCAAAATACATTCCAATTGGAGATGATGATAAACAAACACATTTATCATCTTATGGAAATGTGAATTCATATACTTAATCAGATTTTTCAATATCCCATAATCTAATTGTACAATCTTCTGATAATGTTATTAATAATTTAGAAAATGGATGTACTTAAATTTAATTAATAACATTAGTATGTGATCTAATAATAGTTTTGTAATGATGACTACTAATATCTAAAATACCTAATCCTCCTGTTGATGTACCACAAGCTACTTATAAACCATCAATTGATATATCCAATGAAGTAATAATTCCTTCATGTTTAGCTTCAATATAAAATTCATTAAAATCTAATGGCCAAACTCTAAGGTATTAATCTAAACTACCAGTAATACAAAATCCAGCAGATAAACACACAGCTGTAACTGCATCATTATGTACTTTATATACTTACATTAATTTCTAACTTTAATAAGCAACTTAAAATAAATATCCATTTTTAGATCCAAAATAAATGTTACTAACATTTTAATCTTCATAATTAAATTCAAAATCAAAATTAGTAAATGTTGTATTTCTGGCATGATGATTTAATACAACACTTGCTCCAGGAAGATGTTCATCTTTGATTCTCCAAAATCTAATATTTTCATGTCCACAAGATAGTATTTTATTATTATCAACAGGTGAAAATTTGATTGCCAATATATTACATGAACTTGTTTATTTAGCAAATAATATAGGTTTTCTACTACTTTCTATTTTTTCCAATCCCCATACGATAATAATTTCTCTATTATGTTCATCCTATCCAACAGTTACTAACATTTTTCTATCTTAACTAAATGATAAATAATTCAATTATGAATATGGAGTAGCAAATGCACTTAAACAATCACAATTATTCTTCCATATTCTTATAATTGCATTCTTTTCACTCTATCCACTTACTAACCATTCTCCATCTTTACTTACATCCAAACATGATATTGCTTTAGAATGTCCCATAAAAAACTTCTATTTACCATCTTAAATATTGCTTTAAACCAATAATTATCCAGCTGCATATGTTATTTATTTTTATGTTTCAGTTTGTCTACCCCATTTAATATCAGGACATGAATTAACTGTAAATCCTATTATTTTATCTAATTATTATATTGGATATGGTTAAAGTGGATGATCTTGTGCATCTACTGATTTACTTTAAGCTACATTCTAATCACCAGGTCTCCTTTTCACTAATTCCTCTATTTATTATGTATTATGTTAAACTTAACTTTATTTAAAAGACTTCTAAGTTTCCTATTTATACTTCTCTTTATTTTCCTATATTTTCATTAGATTATCTAAAATATCAGTAGTTACTTCCACTAAAGGTTATTTGAAAATATGAGGTTGGACATCTAAAGCAGGCCAATATGCAATTTGATATTCTTCTGTCCATTTTTATCCTTTGGCCAATTTAAATAACATCTATTTAGGCATAGTTTCCCAATCATAGAGATTATCACTTGTGTATATTCCTCTAATGTTCATGGAACTACAAATTTGAAATGATTTTAATGAATGAATTCCTTTGAAAGACTTATACAAACTGCTTGGTAGTAATCCAAAATTACCCAAAAAGTATTCAACATCTAAAATTAATATAGTCCATTTGTTTGGAGCATTTTTTGGGTATGGTATTAAGAGTTAAGATTGTTAAACCTATTAAATTAATTATATTGATAAATACTTTATGAACATCATACATATTAGAGACTGTTAATTTAATTAAAGGATCTCTGTCTTTAATTTACAAATCAAAATGCATAGTAAAATATCTACCTTTGATTGGAATGAATTCAATATAAATATATCTACCAGTTAATCCTAATTGTTTGATTCCTTAACATGGATCTGGAATTTATACCATATTATTTGCTGATATTGCTCCTAATAATCTTATTATCTTTCTTCCTATTTAATTATCCTATTAATCAATTTACATATTTACTTAAACAACTGAAACCTAACCTTTGGATTGAGTATGTGCTATTTCAAATACACCAAATTATTTAAATACATCAACGAATGGATGTTACCAATTCATTTATTTAAATTCAAATATTATTTATTTATTGTAAAATTATATACACTAATTTTATATAAATATTTATTATATATACATTTTACAATTATCAATTTAATATTTGTAATAAAATCCAAATAAATCATTACATAATTCAAAAGACAATCTACATATTTAGTTTTTTTCAATGGAAAAACTCACAATCGAATAACTGTTCAAAATCATATTTGAAATCAATAAAGATCAACATTTCATTTTCTGTTATGCATGTCAAATAAGATTCCCTATTGTAGAACCAGAAAAGGCAACCCTCTATATCCATCACTTCTCTAAAGACCATGTTTACAATCTCTCAACTATAGCAACAAAAGAAATTATGAAAAACAAAGAATCTACAAAAAAGGATTAAAGAATATCATAAGCAATTCCATTATTTGATTTAGAAAAAGCACTCAATATACAATAATAGCAATCAAAGAATGGTAATCTTTTATATCTTAATCCTCAGTTCTTCATCAATATTTGAAAGATTGTATTACCAAATTACCAAATATCTATGATTAATTAGAATTGAATAATCTGGATGCCTACATGAGTACTCTTCGAAGATTGTATTTACATTTACTTAATCATAATACATCCATCCTAACTTCTGAACTTTGTTTCTCTTTCTTAGATATTTACAAAACAGACAAAGATCTCCAATTAATTAGAAAAATTGTAAGAGCACTCAATTTTCCATTGTCACATGAATAGATGTTAATTCTAAATCCTCATAAATAAACTTATCCAAATTTATCTTAAGATTTGTATATTGAATATTATCAAATCTTCATTAATGATCTAATAGACTTAGGATTATCTAAAGAGTCCTTAGTTTATCATCTTGCTAAAATTGGAACACCAATAAATAAAATTATTGATTTAAAACTTTATGAAATCAAGAATAAAATTAATGATCTAATCAATAAAGGTATTAATGAAGAATAAAATATATTCTTTTTAAACATTATTGAGAAATTAGAACGTTATGAAAATCTTAATAGTCATTCTTATGTTTTTACTAAATGGAATACAGAATGTTAAATAAGAAAATGTGTTAGATAAATTAGGAATCGTCTTAGAGACTAAACAACAGATGAAAAATATAAAGATTTCTTAGCTACTGCTTCTCTTTAATAAATACAAAATTGGCATAAGTTTTAAATTTAAAATGAGAAAAATAATACTAAAGAGATGATATCTATATTAGAAACAATTAATGAAAATAAGAATTAATCAAGAAAAAAAAAGAAATCAATAATTAAATAATTTACAATTCCTAATAATAGTAATTTGGATTAATTTGAAAGAAAAGAATAAGAAGAATTAGAAAATAATGAATTTGATATTAGTATTATTGATTCAAAATCAGAGCGAGATATGGATAAAGAATTAAATAATAAATAAATCAACCAAACAACAAAGTAAAATTCAATAGATTAAAAGAATTAATAGTAATGTGAAACTATTAATATAGAGTCTTAGAAAGAGAAATTAGAAAATTATTAGCATAAAGCTTTACTTAAAAAGTCTACAAAAAGATGAATTTTATAATACACATAATAATTACAATAGTTTATTTTTGTAATAAAATATGATTCATTTCTATCTGATTTATCCCTTTTTCATCTATTATGAGATTTTATATCATGATTATGTTTAAAATACTCTTTCAATATAAATAGAAAATAAAAAATATGGAAAAATTTTATTAATAAAAAAATATTATCATAAATCAATAAGTTTTTGTATTATGATAAAAAAGACAAGTAATTTGTAATAAAACTGAAGTTGAGTTAGTGATGCCATAAAAGCTTTAGAATATTTAATTTACTAGACAACAACACTTAAATTTATTGTTTTAATTGTAACAATCAAATTTAAATATATGTTTTATTGAAGATTGGAAAGGGTCAATTATTAATAGCATTAATAATGTTAACTAAATTGTTATGGTAATACTGATGATCATTTTGTTTAATAGTGCTTGTGTAATTCCATTATTGATGGATGATTATTAAGATGTAGATCATTTATGTCCAGTTTACTATGCTGAAGTTGGAAGGAAGAATTTCATCTTTGTATGATTTATGCAATAATGAAAATAATCTTAATATATATTTTAATATTTAATCAAAAACTACGATATGATAGGGAATCTTATGAGTTAGGAAAGCTTTCAAAATCAAATATTATAATAATAAATTTAATTATAGAATGTCTATCGAAGTTTTGATGGAGCAGATTCAAGAATAAGAGTATATTTTTATATATTATATAGATGGATCATATTTAAAAAGTATAATGCTAATTTATTAGATGTTTGAATAATCTTATACGTCATTAAAATAATAAGAAAAAATCTAATATAATAGTGCTGCCATTTTAAGGAACTCATTTTTATGTACGATACAAAATTAAATTTATTAAGGTCAACTTTAAGGATGAAATAAATCTTAAAAAGGCTAAAGTCTTAGAATCTACAGATAGTAATTTTGGATAATTCTCCTTATTAAAGCCTTAAATACCATTTATACCTTGTATTACTATTCTGATATTTAGTTTCACCGTTCTAAAATATTGCTCCTCATTATTCTTAAGAAATAAAATTTTAGAGAATAAATTCCATTATGTAGAGTCAAGACAGATATCTTGCTCATCCTAGACAGAATAACTAATAAGCTAAACATTTTAAGATGAAAGACAAATTTTTCGTTTTCTCGGGTAAGGCTGATGAATCACAATCAATTCATTCAGAAGAATAAGATAATGATGAAAAAATGTCAGATCATTCATTCTTAGTTAAAAAATCAAAGAAAATCAATAAAGTTAATTATACAAAAAATATCACTAAAAATTTTTCAAAAGCGATTATCAGTTATATTACTTAAAATAAAGACATAGGTTTGAAATTGTTGGATACTTAAGAATTTGAAGATTTTATGTAAATATTGAAAGAGAAAAAAAATAAGATGACAAATATCCAATAATTGAGGGAATTGTGGGTTGATTGTGAGGATGAAAAACTAAAATAATTCAATTAAACTTTTAGAATATTTAGGTAAAATATTTAAAATTAAAGTTAATAGTCAATATTTCTTAAGATAACAATCAGTTGCTTACATCTATAATTCTCGAATCATGAATACAGGATGGCATTTAAAATATAGATATAACTTACTAAGAGCATTAAGAGAACCTTAAAATTTTAAATATATTAAAGATATTTGAAATATGATAAATATCTATCTAATATAGGTCATATTTTAATTTGGAATTATGTAATCACTTTTCATTTATTACATTGATGCCACACTAAACATAGTTGAAATCAATTCTGAATATAAATTCTAGAAAATTTTCTTAAATCTCTCCTTTCTATTAAGAGTAGTACTACAAAGAAAAAATTCATCCAAATAATAAACATTTAACATCTAAAATCTACATTAAACAATAAATATGTTCCATTTATTAATCAATTGATGCACTTTCCATTAATAATCTTATGTTACAGTTATTTCTTAATAAAAGGATGACTAAAATTTTAGTTTTTCATACATATTTTTGAATTATTTGTGATTTTCTTGGATTCTGATAAATTCTTTATAATCGAGCAATGTTTTATATCATTTATTTTGTTTATTCTTCATTTACTCTTAAACTATACAGTATTGATATGCATTTTTAAAACTAGTTTCACTGAAGCCAATTATTCTAATTCAATTAAATTATAAAATGATTAGCCATTAAGATTAACTTATTATATTATTTAATAATAGATAGAATTTTATAATTATTTTGAAGAATTGGTATCTATTTAAGATACATAGGATCAATATTCATATATCAAAAAGATTTTAAGAGGATATAAAACTATTATGGATTATCTGATATAATATATAAGAATTATGTTAATAATATCTTTTTAATAAGAATTCTTATAAGTAAGGGTGTTCAATTTTATATATATGAATTATATTTTTTTCCTTATTTTTATAATAGAACTAGATAATTATTTAAATATTTTAGTATTTTTTTTCTAATGATTTGTAATAAAATGATGATATAATAAGTATTATTTGATTGATTGATTGTTTGAATGAAATTTGGAGTAAAATAGTTTTTTTCATAACTATAGAAATCTTTGAAATTTGAAAGGTTATGATAAAAGTTAGTAATAATTTTAGCAATCATTAATTTATAAACGATAATTAAATGCTTTCATAAAGCAGTAGTAGAAATCTTTTAGAGAATGCAATGGGTCCAGCCTTAAGACATGATCCTCACCCATTCAAATGTTATGAAAAAGATAGATCACCTTCGAGATTATCAATAGAATCTGAGCAGTAGCTAAAGATAAATAATAGTGAAGGTATAAAGATGAGTATACACGAAACTGCAGATAAAAAGAAAACTATAAATTTAAATATTGCAAGAAGGAAATCCACAAGAACATAATAAGTAATATTATTATAAAATAATAAAAGTTAGGCAAGAGGAAATCTGAATAATCAAAAAAATTTGAAGGATTGTCCATTTTAAGAACTATGTAGTAGAATTAACTTATTTAAAAGTTTGCAAATACTTTATTAATGAAATCCTATATTTTGTCATAACATAATAAGTACTTACTAAATTAAGAAAGCTATCTATAATCTAAAGTTGATAAAACAAAATACTAAAGTAAAAATATTGTCATAATAATAATCAGATTAAAATTAGAATAGTACTACGAATATATTTGCACCAGGAAGCTAATTAGTAATGATATGGGATGTGAGTGCAACATTCTTTCATTGTTTTAGTTTATGGCTTTGTCCATTTGTATCATCTTTTGTAGATGATGAAAGTTATAGTGCAGCAGAAATGTTTTTAATTATTCATATCATAATTGATATAATCATTCATTTGAATAGACCCATTATGATTTAAGGAGAAATAATTTTTGATAAGTTGGAGATAATATAATATTACTTTAAAGGACAATTACTGGAAGATCTAATTAGTTTAACAATGTGGTTTTTAATGTATTTTGATTTTCATTAAATACCTGTGACTAATGAGATAATAACAGTAATTCTTTTAACTATTTCAATTTTAAAAGTAAAACGAAATTATGAAAATTTTATAGAATCTCTATATTTATAAGGTGCTGTTAATTAATTGGTTGATCTTATTACTTTAATAATGATGATATATTTCTTTGCTCATTTTATGGCTTGTGTATTTCATCATGTTGGTGATATCACATCTGATAGTGAGAATTGTTGGTTAATACATTACAATTTATTACATAAACCTATCTCAGTTAAATATAATCATTCTTTCTATTGGGCTACTATGACAATGGTCACTGTTGGATATGGTGATATTACACCATAAAATGAAGCAGAATTAGTCACAGTAAATTTACTAATGTTGTTATCAAGTTGTATGTTTGGATACTCAATGAGTTCAATAGGAATGATTCTTAAGAGTATATAGGATGCTAAATATAAATGTAAAAGATCTCTCATTTTAATGAATTCTTATATGAGATAAAGTTAAGTAGATCAATAGATTCAAAGTAGAGTAAGAGATTATATCAAATATTAAGTGGAAATGGAATCTAAAGAAAATAATGAGGATGTAAATTAAATTATTAATGATTTACCTAATTAATTAAAATAAGAATTATAAACTAATGTGTAAATGAATATAATGTAAAAAATTAAAATAATAACATCTTAATTTACTAAACAAACTTAATCAGAAGTATCTTAAAATCTTTTATAATTAAAATTCACTCCTGGAGATTATATTTATCATCAAGATTAGATTGATAATAATTTGTAATTATTAAAAAATATATTTCATAGATATTATATAAAAGAGGGTTAAATATAAATAACAGAAGAAAAGAGTGGAAAAGTATTATAAATAATTAAATCTACTAATACTTTTGGAGAATATTAATTTTTTACAGGTCTTTCTACTAAAACTTGTGCTTAAAGTATAGGATTTTCTGAAGTTTATTAAATTAAAAGAGATATATTTTTAAAAATTATAAGATCTTCCAATAAAGATTTTGAAAGATTTCATAATATCAAAGATAATTTGATACTTAATTCAAATTACTATGTGATTTTATAAAGTTGCAATTTCTGTAAAATGTATACTCATTCAAATATTGATTGTCCTTTGCTCAACTATAAACCAGATCCTCAAATTATATCAATAAGAGAATAAAGAAAATATCCATTTCAAAATAGAAAAGCATTTGTTAGAATGGGAAATAAGATTAAGTCATTATTTATATAATAATAAATCACATAAGCAGTAGAAGAATTTTTGGAAAAGTAGAGTTCATTTCATGAAGTAATTAGAGAAATTCAGAAACATTCTGAAGAAAGTCCAAATACTTAATAATAATAATAAGCAATCTAAATAGAAATTAAGAGTAGTGAAGATCAACCTATTGAAAATTAAGGATCTAATCTTTTACCTTAAACTAATCCAACAACTAATACTGGACCTCCAACTTTAGCAATGATGAGAGGAAAATCTAGTAGATATGTTTTCAATCAATCTTCTAAAGCATCTCATCCAAAAAATTACTTTGTTATGGATCATAATAATAAAGAAGTCACTAAAGAATTAATTTTTAAAGAGAATTCATTTATTTACTATCTTTATTTTATATATTAGTTTCATTACAATGAAATTGATCAAATGAGAGAATATTAGACTTACATGCCCTAAAATAATTGTTCCAATTCTATCAAATTAAGAGAGAAATTTCTTGACAAAAAGCAAATTGGTAGATAAGGAATAGATATTAATGGCTTATCCAAAACTTATATTAATATAAGAAATAGAGATTTAATCTCTTCATAAATAATATAGCCTCACTTTTGATATCCAAATATCAGCAAAATTTTAAATACATCAATCAAGAATAATCTATTTACTAAAAATATTATTATTTATAAATAATGGATTCACCTAGTTTAATTGTCTTAAATACTGATATGCCAATGGGACCATAGCTTTCTCCAAGATCTTCCTATATCAGATATGTTAAGGATTTTTCATCTTCATATCTATAATAAGAAAGTGAAAGAAATTATGATGAAATAATAAGCCAAAACTTAAGTGATTTTCATTAAGAAAAGAAATTAATTAATATGACATCTAGTAGAAGAATATCAAAAAAGTTAGAAACATTTAAATTTACTAAGATAGCTAAATAAAATAAAATTATAGAGAAATTCAAAAACAATCTCTTATAATTTTCTTACATAATGCCATAAAAATTTAAGGCTAAATTGTTATAAATAGAAAATTATTTACAAAAAGACAAAGTTAAAAAAACATCAAGTATTAAATCTCATTAATTTATAGCTTAGATTACTCGTAAGAATTAAAAAAATATAATTTCTCCATCTAATATATTTTTATTTTATTGGGAAATTTTCAATATTCTAATACAATTTATATCTCTCTGGATATGTGCTCTAATTATATCGTTTTCAAATTCAAAAGAAATAAATTTTCAATCTTTTGGTTGTTTATTTATTAGTATTAACATAGTTGAAATAATTATCTCAATAAATAAAGAAATATATATTGAAGGTTAAATCATTAATACACGAAATGATATTCTTATTAATTATTTAAGTAAATCATCTCATTTAGATGTCTGCTCAATATTCATATGGATTATGATATCTTTTAGAATGATTGAATAGAATACTATAATTCAAGTATTTGCAATCCTCCTTTTAATTATTATATTTGCTAGGATATTTCGAGTATATGATTATATAGTTGAACAACTTTATTAAAAAGGATTTGGGGGTTATGCTTTTGATCTATTAACTTTAGTTGTAAGTATATACTTCTTTGCTCATATTATGGCTTGTTTATGGTTGATGGTTGGATTTAATTCAAATGGTGAAAGAATGAATTGGATAAGGGATAATGATTTGGAAAATGAATCTATATGGACTCAATATAATAATGCATTTTATTGGGCTACAATGACAATGGTTACAGTTGGATATGGAGACATTACACCAAAGAATAACTATGAAATGGCATTTGCTAATGTAGCTATGTTTTTTTCAAGTTGTGTATTTGCTTATTCAATGAATGCAATTGGCATTTTATTGAAAGGATTCAATGATGTCAAATAAAATTACAAGTATATTAAATGTCAATATTAAAAGAAAGTCAGTCATAATAATGAATTAATATATGAAATCTAATAATGTAGATGATTAAATTTAAAATAAAGTAAGAAACAATTTAAAATATTTAATATAAAATTAAGAAGGTGATAATATAGATGCTAATAAATTAATGAATAAATTATCTATAGGACTTTAATAAGAATTGTAGGCAGATATACTTGGAAAGATTATTAAGAATATAAAGGTTTTATCTTGTAATTTTAGTAAATAAATTTTACAAGAAATTCAAGGATTAGTAAAGATAGTTTAATTTTCACCAGGGGAATATATTTAAAAGGGTGGAAATGTATTAAATGAAGATGAGATATATTTGTAAATATATTAATTAAATATTAGATATTATATAATAAAAGGGAATGTAAATTTTATATCAAATACTACAAATTCTTTGATTTATAAATTAGGATCAGGAGAGACATTTAATTAATATGAATTTTTTACAGGTTTTAATGATTAGAAAATAGATATTATAAGTGATGATTTTTGTTAATTAGTTAAATTGAATAAATCATAATTTATAAAATTAATATTGGAATCTAAAAAAGATTGGGAAATATATCATACAATTAAAGATAATGCAGCTAATAATAATGATTTAATTGATTTAAATTATAAATGTTAATTTTGTTAAAGAAATACACATTTAAGACAAAATTGTCCTTTACTTACATATTAACCTAATATTTAACATAAATTAAGAAAATAAGAATAAATATAGGTTAAATAATATAGATCTTTAGTAAGTAGAAATTGTGTAAAATTGAATAGTAAAATGATTTTAGAAGAAGTTAAAATGACTATTTAATAATATATGATGAATAATATAAATGATTTTACTGATAATCTTTCTAGGAAAGAATCAAAAGTAATTGAATAAGATGATGATTAACAATTCAAAAAAATAGAATTTATTTCTAGTACTCCTATTTAGATTAGAAATAATCCAAATAAGAAAACTACAATTATATAGAATATTGGTAGTTAAAATTATATAAGAAGTAAATTTTCAGCAGGTACTCCATTAAGAGCAAATAATCAATTAAAATTTAATAAAGAAACATCTCATTAAAATTCAACAAATTAATCATAACCTATAGTATCTCAAACTAATTTATAAACAACATTTTAATTTAAAATGCTTGATCATATATTCGACTCTATGAAATTTGCTTATATTGATATTGATAAAATGCATAATTATATCAATTATTTACCTCACAACAATTTAAGAAGAATTTTGATTCAAATTGATGCTTAAAGTTAACATACTTCTAAAGGTATGATTAAATTAGATAAATCTTTTGGATTTACTGCCAAATTAAGAAGTTAGAAATAAAAAAATAATGCTTAAAAATAAAGTTAATTTAGTATTATGGTTTGAATATATTAAAATATATTAAATATAAAATGACTGAAAGACACAGATTTTCCAGTTAATAAAAACTTCCAATATTAGATTTGACATAAACAAATAGATTTCCAACAGAGGGACTTAAAGTTAATGTAATGTCTTTTAAAGGAAATAGATTACAGTCTAATCAGGTGATGCTTAATTCGTTAGTTTCAGATCTTTAAATGAATTGAATCCTAAATTTGGTTTTCCTATCAATTCTATGGATTCCTCATAATAATTAAACTAAACAATTTAAAATGATTTAACTTAAAATAAGAAAATGCTTTTGATGTTAGGAAAAACTCTTTACAAATAAAAAAATGAATACTAAGAATATTAAGAAAATATAATAGTATATGATTTGATTTAAATTAGAAAAAAATAAGAACTGTTACTAGAATGTAAAAATAAGTTAAAAAAGTTCCACATCGTATTGAGTCTTTTAAAAATAATAATAATGATAAATCTCCTAACGTTATCCAATAATTTGCAAAAAAGAAAGTGACATTTCCTATGTATTTTAATGGAGCATTTTTTACAAAATTGTAACATACTTGGGTACCTACAATTAGAGAAAATACTATGGCAGCAGATTTCTAAAAAAAAATATATATGTTTGGTGGAATAGGAAGTGAAGTTATGGGTGATTTAATTGAATATGAAATATAAACAAGTAAATTTAGAGAAATTAAATAAAATGGTGATATTCCTTTAAATCGTTATGGTCATTGTTTACATAGTATTGGTTACCCAATAACTTTATCTACTTAATTCACTTATGATAATTAATAATATACTTAGATTAATGGAAAACAACTTATAATGTATGGAGGTGAAATGTAATTTAATTCAGCTTTGAAATTAAGAGAAAATTTAAGTGACACAAGAATTTTTGATTTAGAAACAGAAACTTGGTAATTATTGAAACCAAATATTGAGAATATACCTGAAAGTAGAAGATCTTTTGGTAGTTGTATAGTAGGAAAAGGATTAATTGTTATGGGTGGTATTAGAAGTAGATTTTCAGTTTTTAATGATATTCATTATTTAAATTTAAGTATTTATTTATTATTAAATTTTAGATCTTTGTAAATGGAATCCTTTAGAAACAAATAAGAATCCATTTAATAAAGGATTAGCATTCTAGTAATTAGTTTGTGCTTATAATAAACCATAATTGATCTTTGAAAAAAAGGATACAAGAAGTAAGCCTTATAAAGCCCTTGAACATGAGGGTATATATTGTTTTGGAGGATGTTATATAGATGAAATTAAAAATACATAATTCTACAATAATTTTATGGCACTCTTAAAATTAGATTAACCAAATAATCCTTGGGTAATTCCTGAAACTTTTGGAAAATAACCTGATCCAAGAATTTAACATACAGCATCATATGTATAAGAAATGAATATAATAATTATCTTTGGTGGTAGAGATGATTCTAGAAGTCATCCTTATTTTAATGACTTATTTGCATATAAGATTTGTGAAAAGGAATGGGTTTAATTAGATATTTATGGTAATATTCCAAGACCAAGAGCTTCTCATTCTGCTGTAGCTTATAAAAGTTAAGTATTATATTTTGGTGGTGTAAGTATGAATGGATATCTTGAATTTTCAGTAAATGTTGCAGAATTTAATCAAAATTAAATAAGATAATTATAAGCAGAGATGAAAGCTTATGAATAAACAACAGAAGTTTAAACTCAAAAAGAAGAATGTTAAAGACAATCTATTTTATCTAAATAGTATTTCTCATTACATTAAATTGCACCTATTTAAAAACCTAGAAATATGACAAAGGCTGAGGAAATGAATTAACAAATCTAATAATTATCCTTTTCTAATTTTCCTCTACATCTTAAATAAACTTTATGATTGATATATAATTATATAAATTTAATATATTCATTCAACATTAATGATTTTTAAATATAAGAGTCGTAATTTAAGGGCTTTAATTTTGACATTATAAAAGAATGTATATTTATTCATATTCTAAACATGTTTTTCAATTTTTCTTTAATATCTTATATTATTATTTTCTAAAGATTTCATAATATTTTCGAGGTTGTCTTATGGATAATACTTTTCATAAGACTATTATCTATCACACTATATAACTGAAGGAAACCATCTTGCATTAATGTATAAATCTTCAATCATATTGAAATCTTTAATTAAATTTGTCTATTCCTTATTAATTTATCTAGATTATGATAGTTAATTTTCTAGTTAGGATTATTAATCTGCTTTAATACCAATTTTATTAATAGAACTATCATAATATTATTATTTTTATTCTTGATCCTAGTCTTCAGTTACAAAACAAGATGATCTCTTTTATTCTATATTTTGAACTTCAGAATAATTACTAGTTTTAGATCTATGGGCTATTATAGCAACTTATAAAGAGTGAGATATTTCAGCTCCTGTTGTATCCTCTATAAATGATTTGACTAATTTAGATATTTCTTTTTATTATAGTATACTTTTTAGTTTACTACCAATTCTTCTCTTTTTTTGTCTTTGTTAAATTTAAGGGTAAAAATTACTCTTTTTTATCCTTTATTCAATATCTGGTTTATATGTTAAAATAGGACAATCTATTTCTTAATGATTTTATCTATCACAATATTTACATTCCATACAAAATAATCTATAATTTGAATTAAAAATAATTTAATCTTTAATATAATGAAACATTTCTAAATCTCTTTTATTAAATTATAAAATTTCCAAAAATTTATTTCTACTTATTCTATAAATATTAGAAAATCCAATACTAACAGCAGATGTTTTTGGAGGAAAATCAGTAAAAAATTAATATATTCCAAATTATTAATGCTGAATAAGTTTTGAGAATTTCTTTTTACTTTAATCATCTTATATATCTACTTCCCCTTCTATTATAAAGTAAAGATTTTTATCAGAAATATCTCCTCTTTTATAAATGATATCACCAGGAGCATACTTAACTAATTCTAGACTTTTTGATAATAATTGCTAAGTATTACATGAAAAATGGTTTATAACTAATTTTGCTTTATTAATGACTTTTCTTTAAATATCAGTATTTAGATCTGATTATAAATTTTATGGTAAAATCCCTACAAGTCTATTAATATCTTCTAAATTTTCATTTTATTCAGATTCAATATAATATTTGAGATAATTTCTAATCCTACTTTGAATTTATGGTTCAACACAATTCTTGCTCATATATGTATTCATCTATAATAAAGATCTTTTATATTTCAATTTTCCATCATATATATTTTTAAGTATCATACCTATAGAATTCATTGAATATGCAAATATTCCACTTGATAAAAACATAACAACATTAACAAAAATAATTTCAAATTAACTTTATGCAGTAATATCTCCATAACCAACAGTTGTCATTGTCATTGTAGCCCAATAAAATGCATAATTATATTTTTTCCATATAGCTTCATGTTCCAAATTATATTTTATTAACCAAGATTAATCTCCTGATTAAACACCAACATAATGCCAGAAACATGCTACTATATGAGCAAAAAAGTATATTGAGCATATTAAACTTATTAAATCCATTACATAACTAGATACACCTTTAACAAATACATATTAAAAATAATCTGAAAAGTATTTTTATATTTTATAAAATGTAACTATTAATTAACAAATTACTATGCATTCTCCAAGAATTTTATAAGATATTAAATTTTTTTAGATTAACATCCATAAAGCTAAATTTGTTAAATCAGTAATTGCATTAGTTTAGAAATATTATTAAATTAATTTTTTTCTCTTTTTAATCACAATCCCTTATACAATAATACCTTTATTAAATGAAACACAAATATCACTTATTAAAAAGATTGTTGTTAAGTATTTGATAACATTGAAAGAGTAATAGTTTTCCATGTCATCAAAAGATAATAAAAAAGGAGTCAACCATAAAATTATTAAATTTAGTATTACTCCAATAGCATCCCAAATAATAATAACAATACTTGTTGGCATTATTATTGGAAATCTAGATTAAGAGAGGGTTTCTTAAATTAATATAATATCATATTACCTAAATTTTATTATTTATTTCCTTTCTTAATATATTCGTCATTCAAAATTTATTTTTTTTAATTCTATAAAACATATGAGTTTGTAAAAAGATTATTAATAAACTGCTTTTTAATTCTTTCCGTTTTTAAAGCTTTAAGAAAATTCTTATAACCTGCACAATTACCAACTGTTTTAGTTAATTTAAAAGGATATTTTAAATTAATAGATTCACTGGTTAGTTTAGCACTATGAGATAATTATTATTCTTGTATTATTAATCTTGGTTATCTCGAATTGTTGCGAGTGTTTGATTTGTTTCTAACATCATCAACAATTTGTCTTTCACTATCCTCTGAAATTTCAGATAGCCTGGATGCTGATTCACTTTTAGAAGTAACTTATTTAGTGATCATCCTTGGCTTTTAATTAGTATATTGATCATATTGATGCATATTTTAAATTAAAAAATATATTGGAAATTCATTCACTTATTTATGATTGATAAAATCACTTAACTCATATACCGAGGATTTAAATTATTAATTAATTGTAATCATCAAATAATTAAAAAAAATCATCTCAATAAACATAAAGCAATTATAATTTATTATTGATTCTTAAATGTTAGATGGGATATTTTAATAATATAATTTATATTTTTTTTCATATTAGTATCGAATAATAATGTCTTTTATATTTAATCCTTATTTTATCAAAAGAAATTTTCTTCAATAATAAATTTAAGTTTAAATAACTATTTTTATTTAAATTCATCATATTCTAGAATGAAATAATGATAAATGTTATTTTCAAGTATATTTGAAGTTATTAATAATAATAAATCCTATTATTATATTACTTATATTTAAAAAAAAAAAATATCAATATTTCCATATAAATCAATCATGAATAATACTTGAACTAAAAAATGTTATGATATAATAAATACTATGCTGAATTTGGTTCCCAAGGAACTGAACCATCACCTGAAGTGGATCTATAATTTGTAATCTCGTCATTTGCCTATTTCATATTAAAATTAAGATTTTCTTTCTGTCCTGTGATGATTTACCATTAAGCTAAGTTACTTTCTCCATATAATTCTTTGTAACATACACATAAAACTTAAGTTTAATTTTCAATTTCTGCAGGTTATTCTTCAAATTTTTGACATATTTTTTTCATTGGTTATGGTAATCGATCACCTATTGAATATGCAAGACCATATTAGGGTCTTAATTTTAAATATTAATAACTAGTAAGGACCTAATTAGTTTATTCTTCAATATCGTGATCATCATTGCATTCAAATATTTTCTTAGCAGATGGATTTAGACAAGGTACTAATCTTGAATTCAATATTTTCAAATATGATTTATTAGTTAAATTATCTGGAGGATAATAATTTAAAGTATCCATTCGATAATTAATTTCCTCCATATAATTTACTTTATTCATTTTAATATTCATTGTTTTCTCTTCTAATTGTTATATATATTCATCCATTTCTTCTCTCAATTTAAGTAATGATTATCTCATAATTTTATAAAATAATTATTTTAATATTTATATAATTTCTAAGCATTCTATGCTATAATTTTAGTTTACTATTATAATATACTAAATATAAATATGAATTAATTTCATTCATACTCTTATTATGATATAAAGCTACACAAATTTGTTTATACTTTAATTTAAATCAACTAAAGAAATAGATTAGTTTAAAACAAACCTATAAAGAATATTTATAGAAATATAAATTGTACCAAAAAATGAAATTATTATTGCAACTATAATATAATATTACAATTATAATTCAGTTTATTTAGATTTATGATTTATTCTGAATATTAAGTGTTTCACTATTTTAAGTAAATACTATAAATAGTGAAACAATTTCATATAAATTTCATATAGTTAGATGATATAGTATTAATAATATGAATTACTTAATAATAGTCACTCTTCTCTTATTCATTAGAGCTGATAAAATCATGTGTCCTCTTCATATTGACACATCAGTATCTTGTACAAAAGAAAATTAACCTGTATGTGCATTTTCATCAGAAGGAACTGTAAGTCTTTAATTAATATTAAGTAATTGGGAACATTTGAGAATCCTTGCTTTGCTTGTAGAGTTGATAAAGTTAATTATTATGAAAATGATGCATGTATCATGACTACAGCATCTTTAGAGTCAATGAATTAAGTCTAAGAAAACATATCAACATCATCAAACTAAAATATAATATACAAATGTGGTGATACTCTAAAATCTGATAATCCTATATGTCCTCTTGCTGTGTAATATTTTAATCTTTAATAAATATAGTTTTAAACCTACTTGTGGATTATTTAATTCAAGTATACAATGCTTCAATGCTCCCTGTGGTAAATAATTTGGAAATGAATGTGAAGCTTGTTCAGATAAAAATGTAGATTCCTATTTTTATGGGGAATGTGATGATATTCCTAAATAGTATCTTTTTATTTTAATAATTTTAGAGATCCATAAATTCCTCCTATTGATGATAATATAATATATTGCACAGAACCCAGACCTGAAATTTGTACAAAAGATTATAGAGAAACATGTGCTTTAATTTCTACACCTTGTTTTTCTGAATCATGTATGAGATCTGCTGGAAACTATTGTGATGCTTGTTCTAAAAAAGATGTAGTAGGATATGTTAAGTAAACATGTGCTAAATATCAGTAAATATTTATTCTCATTGATTTAGATAAATTTATATTTAAGATAAAGAAACAAAATCAGATAATAAAAATGAAAACTAAGTTATATAATAAAAATGCAGTGCATAGAAACCAAGTTCTTGTGATAATATTGTTAAAGAAGTCTGTGTAACATATAAATGCAATGACACTAATTGTCTTAAAGAATATTAAAATGAATGTTAGGCTTGTTTAGATTCAACAACTATTTCATATAGTTATGGAAAATGTTAAAGTTAAACTCTATCTGAAACTATACTGGGTTTAGCCTTATTTTTATAGTTATTAATGTGAAATGATTAAATATTATATAGAAATAATGTAAATATTTTTATTTATTATCTATCATATTTTTCTATTTAGATTTATTTGAATAATATCTATAAAAATATACAGAATCATTTAATTTCAGACATTTCAACATATTTTAATTACTCACGATCTGGTAAAACTTTTAATGATCTGTGACTCCTTGAAAAATTCCAAATATTATGATCAATTCCAAAGTATTCTTTATTACATTCATAACACACCAAGAATACAGCTATAGGAAGTGTTACTAATGATATTAATTTTAATAAAGAATATATGAAAACCTATAACAAATACAATTATACTGTTAACAATGTTGTTGGTATAAAATAATGAGTACACTCTATTGTAGTGGTAGATAAAAAGTATGCTAAACAATCCCAACAAAATTGAACTCCAAATTACACCATACCACTTACTTAAATAAAATTGAGTATTTAATTTACATTTTAATATTTTGATTTAAGTAAGTCTTGTTTCTAATTTAAGCAATTGATGAGCAAATGAATCATTTTTGTTATCCAACTTTTTATAGTGTGTATTTTTACTAAGTATTCCTTATATTGATGTAATTAATGAACGCACTAAAATCCAAAGACAAATGCTACGATTGACAACATCAAACCAATGAAAGACATAAACAGGTTCGAAATCTCTTTGCACTGATAACTTGTTGTTTTTCCACAATAATATACACACTCTCTTGATAATGGTTTATGCCCTGATATAACCAAAAGAATCCAATCAAGCATAAACCTATGCGGCCTGCATTAAAAAGTTGCTCATGTTTTTCCTTTTCTAATATTACACTTATTAATATTATGCATATTAATAATTCTAACACTAATCCTATGGATCTTAAGCTAATTATCCAAATGTTGGATTCTAAATAATTACAAGTTAATACTTGCAAACATAAAGTACAATACTTAAACTATCATCTGAATAATGCTTATCACACATAGTGTTTAATCAATTAATAATAATATTCCATTATTCCTTTCAAACATGATTTTAGCTTTCATTATAAAATAATACAGAATCCCACTACTTAGAATTAAATCAATCAGACTCTCTGAGCATTAATAATTTGTTTAACATTTATATAATGCTCCCATTGAATTTAATTATATTTATATATTATATATTTAGGTTTTAGAGGTAGTAAATATACAATTTTAACAATTGTTACAAAATGGTCTTCTAAGTTCAATACTATGTCAAAAGACTTGAAGAAAAATTCAAAATGATATAAAAGTGTGAAAGATGACCAAATTAAAGTACGCAATATGATCCTTATAAAAGATTTGATTAATTCATATATACAAAAAGTTGAGGTAATTAAAATTATTGTTTGTTATGAACTCTGGTGAAATAAATTAAAACATGAATGATGACAAGTCTCTTTCATCTGAAGATGAAGAATAAACATCTTAAATAATTGAAAATGATCCTACGGGTCGTTTTAGTAAGGTATTAAAAAATAACATATATTTTAGTATAATGAAGAGATTGGGAAAGGAGCATATAAAAGTGTTTACAGAGGTTATGATAATGAAAGTGGATGTGAAGTTGCATGGAATGTGTTTTAATTAATGAATGTTTCTGGGGGTATTTTAAAATCTAGATTTGTTGTAGATGAAATAAGAAGAGCCAAGTAAGAAATTGCAATATTGAAAACATTGAAACATAAAAACATTATTAGTTTTGTTCATTCTTGGTAAAGTAAATCAAAGAAAGAAATTGTTTTTATTACAGAAATTGTTAATGGAGGTTCGTTGAAAAAGTAAATTTGAAAGTATTATAAAGTAGTTATCTTAGAAGAATAACAAGACCAAAACTAAAAATTATTAGATATTGGTGTAAACAGATATTGGAAGGACTAGAATATATACATTAATAAAATATTATCCATAGAGATTTGAAATGCGAAAATATATTCATTGATACCAATAATAATGAGTTAAAAATAGGAGATCTTGGATTATCTATCTAGTAATTATTAAATATTAAATAAGAGAATGCAATCAAATAATACAAGTTCAGTATTAGGAACTCCAGAATTTATGGCACCTGAAATTTATCATGGAAATTATGACACAAAGGTTGACATTTATGCTTTTGGCATGTGCATTCTAGAAATAGTTACTGGAATGAAACCTTTTTGTGAATGTAAAGGTGGTACAGGTTAAATAATTAAAAAAGTAATGGAAGCATAAAAACCTTAAAGTTTAGAAGGTGTATTAAATGAAAAAATTAAATCCATTATTTTGGAGTAAGAATATAATAATTAAAATTAGATGTCTTAAACCTGCAAATGAAAGACCAACTGCTACTTAACTCTTGCATTAATATTTTTAATCCACCAACAATGATGAAGATAATTCTCCTGTTTAATTAAATGAATCTCTCTTAAATTAGATTTCCCATGATAGCAAAAGTAATTATTGTCTTTTATTATATAGATTCTTCCTACTTCAAAAATAATTTATCTAAAAATATTAGTGAACTTAAAGGAACTACTACTAATAATCATATTAATAATCATGTTACAAATTAAACTAATAAACTCATTCTCTTTCATGATTTTAATCCTAATTCAATGAAATAATCTGAAGTAAGACATTGTGAATAATAAAATAAGTTAAGCATTGATACTGTTGAAGATTTCTCAATTGAATAATAATTTAGCAAGTAATATAAAGAATACTATGTATAATTTTATTTTAACTTATAGATCACATAAAATGATGAAACCTTGCAAGATTTAGAATAAAGACAAGAGAGAGAATTATAATTATTACTTGCTTTGCACAAGCAATAAAAAGCAGATCTCTCAAATAAATTCCATTAAACTAACAGAACAACTATACCATATGGATCTTGTATTTTGTCACCAAAATCATTCTCAACATTATTTGAATTCAATAATGATTAACAACAACAACAATAATTATAAGGAAATCAATAATAACAATAGTTACATTAGTCATAAATTCTTAAAGTCTTTCCTATCTGTGATATCACCAATTCTGAAGAGAATGGAAGGAAATTAAATAATAAAGAAGATGATATGATCATGATTTAATCAGTAAGATTCAATATATAATTAGAAACAACAATGTAAATTTTCTACAGATGTTGTAATGTAATCAAAAGCTTAAAATGTTAGAACAACTATTTAAGGTTGAATATTAACATCACTTTAATGTTAATATTAACTATTTATTTATAAAATACAATTTTATCAAAAAAACAAAAAACTTTCATCTTTCCTATAATAATAGTCTTACTTTTATTCTATTTTTACATTTGACTTTCGAAATCAAAAATATTGTTAAAAATTAAATCTAATAATATAAATCAAAGATCTAGTTTGTCACTAGTTTATGATTAATACATCATCTAAGGTGGTTATTATTATTATTATTATTATTAATAGCATGTCACATGATAATTGTAGCCAGAGAGATATTATGGATTGGAAGTAAAATTGTTATTTAAATGAGTTGGCAAATTTAGATATGATCGAGTTGGTGGAAGTTAATTAAAATTCATTTGATTGTTCATGGCCAAACATTAATAATAATAAGAATTCAAACTTTAATGTTCAGAAAAACATTCTAAATTATTAGTTTATTGATTTTATTATTAACCAAGTTCAATATTTGGATTTATAGAAATATTATTAGTAAAATTCAAATTATTTGCTGCAGGTTATGCTCCTAAAAAACTAGATAAATTAATCAATTAGTTATTATTGATTTAATTTTAAGTTTTAACATAATTGTTAAATTATTCTTAATTTAAAAAATAAATAAACCCTTTTTCTTTATTTACTAAACAGAAAGATAATTAACTCTAATCTTCATTTTGATTATATTCCAAAACTTAAAATTAAATTTAATTATTATTATTATTATTATTATTTCCATTCTAATTCAAAGTAGAAGGTGTAAAGTTTTCAATATTAATGTTAATATTATTAAAATTATTAACATTTTAGACTTTATTGTTGTTGTTTTCATTATCCTATTATTATTACTTTGTTTTTAAAGCTCTTCTATCTAATTAAACCTTCTTTGACACTTAATCTTAATGTTCTTATTTGATTTCATAAGAAGAACCATCTTATTTCATTCTCCATTCTATCTTCTTTATTATAGCTTATATTTATTTAATCTCTTCTGGACTTAATTCTTCAGCTGATGGATCAGATAAATAAGATTCCTAATTATCATTATCACTTTCATCTTAAGATTATGGTATATTTTTGCCGCTCTTTTCCTTTCTCATTAAACAATTAAATCTATTCTTCACATTGTTTTCACTCCTCTATAATTTCAATTTTTTAGAAATTAATGCCCATTTTTTCCCATTTTATATTGCCAATTTCATAAGTTCCAAATCCTCCAATTATTGCCAAGGATTTCTGATTTATTATATTATAATTACCTATTAATTGATGGATTTAAGTGATTATTCCATCTCTCTCTACACTACTTTCCATTTCTATGAACATTTAAACCAGTTGTTTTATTGAGTTCAGTTGCAATTTAACTCCATTTATTTCCTTTATTCTAAGCCTGAAATTCACTTATTATTCGAACTAAGGCTTCATCTTCGTTTTATCCCCATGGAGCTTATTGAAGAGGTAACTTCAACATCTATAGCCACTTTTACTTACATTGGAAAGAGTCTCTTCTTAACATCATAGATGATATATTCTACCAGTCTTCTTCACACTAATAAAAGATTATAGTTTAAAACATTACAATTTGTTTGAAATCTCGTTTATGGTATGCCATGTACTTTCCAATAATCCATATTAAGATTCTTTTATCTTCATCTGACCAGTTCTTTTTTAATTTAGTGTTTCCTGACTGTATGCTAAGTTAGTTATTTTTTTGGAAGTTTAAAATCTCTAGGTTGTCTGGGAATTGTTCTAATCCTAGATTATACAATTCTTTCATATAGGCAAACCTAACATTAGTGATGTCTTTCACTTTATCATAAAACTCTTTAAACTAAACATAGAAATCTTCCATTTTTAATATTTATGGAATTATAAAATTATACAAATTATACTCCCCACACTTGGCTTTAAGATGTACCAGTTAAACTGACTATCTCTAATTTATGGGATGGAAACAATGTACTGGATTCACTTGTAAAATTGATCATTAATTTTAATAGATAGATGATCCTAATAAAGACGAATAACTTATTATTGTTGCTTCACTCTATATAAATGGTCAATTATAGTACCCTACCAAGACATTTAAGGCATTTAGCAGACATTCCTTACAAAAATAAGAAACCATTTTTTTTAATTCTAATATTAAGGATTTATCATACAATTCTTTAATAGCTTTGAGTATATATAGTACTCAATAAAAATATGAGGAAGCAAAACCTTTAGGATCAACTACTTTTCCTTTGTTTGATGAAAATCTAAAATTAAGAGAAGGTAAAATCAATTTGCTTATTTGGCCAAATACTTAACCAGATACAAGTTTTAATTCAAAAACTCCAGGTCTTGTTAAGGATAGAAATATTTAGGATTTAAATTTTTGTACAAGAAAAATAGATGAAGTATCAAAAGGAGAGTAGAATGACACCAATAAAAATTTATCAAAATAAAACCTTTAAATTAGATTATATTATTTGAGCAAAATAATACCTACAGCATTTTTAGAAGTTTAATTAGATCAATATTTTTAATAACCTATTCTTTTTGAAGATTATGAATATCCTTAAAATGACACAGAATAATAAATAATTGGTGGTGGATATTATAAATAACCTGAAGATTAAATTGCAAATTAAGCAAAAGCTCCTACCTAAAGAATATTTATTGATTAAAATTAATTGAGTGATACTTTTAGAACAAGTGATTTTGATTAAGAATTTGGTAAACCTGATCCTATTCATGATATGATGAATTTAATTTTAAGATATAGTGATCATCCAGAAACTTTAAAACCATAAAAAGATGAAGAAGAAAAAATGAGGAAAATGATGGCTAGACCTTTAATTGGAGAACTAAAAAGTGATGATAAATAACTATTTGTTAAATATAGATATTGGGCAATGTAATATGGTAGTGCATTACCATTTTACCTTCATTCTGTTGCATGGCAAAATTAAAAGGAAGAATAGGATGCATTAACTATAATGAAAAAGTGGTCTCCTATTGATAGAGAAGATTGTCTCTTTTTATTATCATCTTTTTTTTGTGCTAATGAATTTAAAAAATCTAAAAAAAATAAAATTAGTATGTTAGAAATTAGAAAATATGCTGTTGAACAATTAAGTAAATTAAGTGATGAAAAGATTGAAAATGTGTTATTGTAATTAGTATAGGCATTAAAATATGAACCTTTTGATTAGAAATCAGATCTTGTTAATCTATTGTTTGATAGAGCCATAAAATCTAAATCATTAGCAACTTATTTGTATTGGTATCTTCATGTTGAAAAGGATGGATGGCATGCTGATTCCAAAAATACTATTTTAGGATTTTATTATACTACATTCTAAGGTATTTTAATATATTTACAAATATATTAGAGTTTGAAAGAATGTTATAATCCAAAAATGAAAAATTATTTAAGGATATTTAAGGACAATCCAAATTTAGATAAAAATTATAAAGTTTAGCTACTGAAATTAGATCTTTAAAAAATGATAGATAATTTAGAATCAACTACATTAAAAATTAATTATCTTAATCTGCTTATTAAAATTCATCAGAATTACCATAACATCCATGTTGTCTTTATCCTGAGTATGAATTGATTAGAGCTGTTCCAGAAAGAACTACAATATTTTCATCAGCTATGGCTCCAATTAGATTAGGATTTTAAGTAATTAAAGGAGATGAAGAATCTGAAATTAAATTAATATTTAAAAATGGAGATGATTTAAGATAAGATTAATTAGTTATGTAAATTTTTAATTTAATGGATGAATTACTTAAAGGAGTTAGTTAAGATATGAAATTATTACCTTATAGAATACTTGCTTGTTCTAAAAGTGATGGATTCTTAGAATTTGTACCTGATAATGTAACACTTCAAGAAATCATTATTAAAAAAAATTAAGGAATGTAACCTTATTTAAGATAAATTTCAGAAGATAAAATGAATCCTTATTATTGGAAAACATTATCTTTAAAAAATAATGTAATAATTATTATATTTTAGGATTAAAAAGATCCAGAAAATCTTAAAATTATACAAGATCATATTGATTAAGTTGTTAAAAGAGCACAATATGGTATTAATCCAACTTTTATGACTAATTATATATATTCTAGTGCTGGATATTGTGTGTTAACATATTTCTTAGGAATTGGAGATAGACATCTAGAAAATTTATTAATTAATAATGAAGGCAAGATGTTTCATATAGATTTTGGATTCATTTTAGGTAAAGATCCAAAACCATATCCACCTCCATTTAAATTATGTCCAGAAATGGTAGAAGCTATGGGAGGATAAAAATCAGAGTTATACACATTATTTAAATCAAAATGTGTTGAGGTTTATGTTTATTTAAGAAGATATGCTAAATTGATTATAAATCTATTTTTATTGATGGCTGATGCTGGTATTAAAGACTACAGTTAAGAAGCAATAGAATAGATGTATGAAAAATTTAGATTGGATGACAGTGATGAGAATGCTGAAATTCACTTTTTAGGATTATTGGAGGAGTCAATTAACTCTTTATTTGCTAAAATGACTGATAAGTTACATTTCTGGGCTAGTTATATGAGAAAATGATATTTCTGATAATTTACAAAATTTTATCCATTCTTTTTCATAAGTAGTAACATTACTTTTTTTAATTTAAGTAATAATAACTTTTTTTTTATTTTTTAATTGTTGTAAATTTAAAGATATATTTAAGCAATTATTTTTAGAATTAAATAATAATATTCAATCTACAAATTACTAAATTTTTGATAATTTTTCATAATTTATACTACTTTTTTCTATATATTAATCTCTTAAACTTGTATTTTTTTATCAATTTTTATAATCATAAATAATTTATTTTCTTGAAAATATTCTTATTAGATTTTATAATTTTTGCCTTTAATGAATCTTACTCAAAGATTTGATTTTTTTTAAATTGATTTATTTTTCATTTATAATATAAGGATATCTCCTTAATTTATCAT